TGCTAGACGTATCGACCCTGTGCGTCTTGTCGATCCACTTGCTTTCAAGAAGCAACAGTACAGAGTCTCTGGAAGGAACTTACCGGATTCATCATTGGCGTCATTGGCTCTTCAGTGCTCAGCCAGAAGGAGTAGTCATTCCTGCTCGAGAGATGGCAGACACTGTTCAGATTACAGAACATGAAGGGCATCGTGTTGAATTTAGAAAGACATGAGCCCGCTTGACCTGAAATAATGATTTCATCAAATCAGGCGTCGAAGAGCTTCGAGGCAATATCAGCAACTTCTACACTACGAATAGACACCGTGATCTCAGGCCTTACGTCTCGATCAAGATTCCCTCACTGTTTATATTCTCATGGAGAGTTTATTTTGGAGTGCCAAGCAATTCATTCACAATGTTATGTTTTAGAAGCCTCAGGGGAAGCGACTAGAAGTAGGACCGCTACTTGATTGATGTACATAGAAACATTATCATGCCGAAGTTGATGGTCAAGCCAATAGTACCAAAGCATTTCATACAGTTCGGTCCTTATCCCGTTTGCCACGAATAGCACACCCTGAAGCTTATTCAGGTAATTACTCGCCCTGGAAGAATCTCAAAAGAACAGCCCCTAAACATGATCTTTCGCCTTCGGTTCGCTTAAAAAGTCTTCGCCTTCCGAAAATTTCCGTTATCTTTCTTAACTCACGAGTTTCAGGTGTCCCTTTCTCTCCAGGTCTATCCTGATCTCTGCGCCTTTATCAGTCAAAGGCAAAGATCACGATAAGTTTCTTAGGTACGGCGAATGTGCCGGCCACCAGAGAATACTGCAACCCTGAGCAATCCTTACATGGTGCCTTTTCCATCAAAAAGGGTCTCTAATGGTAAGTGTCCCAGAAAAAGCATGCCCCCCGTACTCCCACCAACAACGACACCCCCACAAATGGATGCATCGACCAGCAGTTGACACGATCGGGTCAATTGTTTTCACCCACAATCTGCGGCCTGAATAGAACCTTTTCACCTTCTTCAGGGCTCCTTCTGGAGAGTTACAGTTCTTGTTCGTCAAGAAAATATTTTCCTTTGACACAGTGTGAGGTTTTCTTGCAAGCAGTGCCCGTTTTGGAGCTCGAAACTTGTTTTAGTTGTTGGATTTTTTCATTTGATTCCCGCGAATCTTTGACAGCGGCTTCGTGAAAATAACGTTAGTGTGCTCCTCTTCTGTTAAGGACCCGTGCTGATATTGTCGTGAAGTTCGCTTGAAGTAATCCGCTTTCATGTTCCCTGTGCAGTCGCCGTGTTTTTTTCACATTGATCTTTGACTGCCGATAATATCAGCACGGGTCCCTAACAGAAGAGGAGCACACTAACGTTATTTGTGACGCAGATAGTCGCTGTCAGCTTTCACCTTCTCCATCTTTGATCGGGGTTGAGGGTCTTTGTTACTAGCGGACTTAATAGAAGTTTCTTCTCAATCGTGTGTTTCGCGATCCAAGAGTTACGTCCCGCGCGAAATCTAGGTGCAGAAGGCGTCCATCCGCATCTCCTGTCGGGAATAGTCAGCGACAGGCCCTTATTTGAGTGAATCCCCTCTAATCCGACACAGATCAGTTGCGCGGCCAAATTCTAGATGTAGAAGGGGAAAGACCTGCCAAAAGTCCTAGGTTTCTGACCCTTTTGTAGTAGTGTTAGCATAATTACATACTTCTCAGCCTATTCGATGAGTGCGCTTTATTGTGTCAGTACTTTTTCTACTATCTAGCGGACGCTGACGGCGCAGGACTAACGCTAGGAGAGAAAAAGAAGAGAAGAAGTGCTTTTTCTACTCCGCGTAGATCAATGGCTACAAACTCTTTTTTGCAGGGCAACAAGGACCACCCGGAAAAGCCGGATACCCCGGACCACCAGGAGAAGCAGGCTTGCCAGGCCTTCCAGGAATTCCCGGACTAAAGGGCGAACCTGGACCTCCCGGACTCGTTGGAAACCCTGGACGAGTTGGTCAGCCAGGTTTCCCAGGTCCACCAGGAATACCAGGTGGACCGGGAGCATGGGCACCTTCTAGAGGTTTCACCTTCGCAAAGCACTCACAGACAACCGAAGTGAGTATCTTATGCAGAGTATCTCTTATTTTCTTTTTCAGCCACAAAACAGGCCATTCCTTTTCTACGCCTAGAAGTCACTTTTTCACTAAATGATTTGTTTAGCCCTTTGGAACGTTCCTCTTTCATTTCTAGGTCCCCTCATGCCCACAAGGAGCCACACCTTTATGGACGGGTTATTCTCTTCTGTATGTACAAGGAAACGGTAGATCCAGCGGACAAGACCTTGGTGAGAATAACTTACCTATTCGTCGTGTTTACCCGTATGAAACCTAAATTTACCCATATGTACCTCAGTGACTATGTTCAGACCAA